ATTGCCAACTATATATATATTTAAAAGCGCTATGTGACTAAAAAAAAAGTCTCAAATTGCAATTCCAAAGGTACCCTTACTCAATTTGGCTACCCTAAAGCTTATGACGACATGGAATGCATTGGATATTTGGAGTTTCTAGTGCTACACAATAACAATCTTTATAAGATATTAAAGATCCTGCATCTTTACCAATTGAGCTTCTAAATTTGAGTACCTGCAACATGTGTTAGATACAAAATGACATGTAATTATGTAAATTTCATTAAATAATAAGTTATCCATAATCATTAAACACAGCTAGACATCCTCTTTATATGAATATGGTTCAAACTAGTAAATACTACAATTTGAACCAACCTCAAGGTTCAATACCTTGTCAATAAGTATCATTTTGTAAGTTAGGTGTAAGATTTACGTTTTAGGGTCAGTATTTAAAGAAAAATTAATTTCCTTGAATGCACTAAACTGATGTGGGGATGTGTTCTTAAATCATTTAGGGAGATATTAATTTCAAGATGTGCAAAAATTAGCATGAGAACACTAATGGTAGATACAAAAAAAAAAAAAAAAAAAAAAAAACAATTTTAACCATCTCTTCGTTGGTGACTACAATTATTTCCTCTTTCAACGAAGACTCATCAAAAATATCTAAACAGTTGTATTGCAAATCGATGGGGCCATTGCTAATGCTGTTAAGAGTAAATGTTATTTTCTGATTGCTTTGTTTTGCTTGATTAAATTATTTAGGGCTTTTTTTTGTTGCCCTCTATTTTTTTTACCTAGTTAAAAAGCATTCTTAGGAAACATTTTGACCGGATCTACACGTACCTAAGAAATATGGAATAGGGAAATTGGTAAAGAAAATTTGATAGTAGCGTTGTCAAGTGCGTCTTTCATAAGGAAATTTGGGAGAAAATTTTTTTCCTTTTAAAAAGTGTGAGAAAAAAAAATTTATGGATTGGATATTGTGTCAAGAAAAATAAAGGCTAAAATGCCACCTTTATCCTTTATTTGTTGTAATATTAATATGTGAAAATATATAAAGGGATTAGTGCTTATTCGCCTTACTTCCAAAAAATTAAAAGGAAAAAAAATAAAAATCACCTTAATACATGCTTTAAAAATATGTTAATTTAGTCTTTTTCAATAAAAACTTATTGAAACGACGTAGTTTTATGATAATTTTCCTCATAATCTTTAGGAGATAAGGCTGACAGACAATTTTTCCATATATAAATAACTTTATAAAAAAGAAATTTTAAAAAACTTAAGGGAGAAAAGTGCCCCCTACCAAACACCCTTTAGGGAAAAATAACTTTTTAAAACCATTTAAACGCCAAATACAAGCAACATAATCTAACTTGCAACAATCAAGGCACAATCCCGAAAATCTTTCCCAACTAAATAGGCCTTTTTAGTTCTTTATGGTCACCTTTCTCACCTTCGTTTTCCTTTTGTTTCTTTTCGGTTAAATACCCTTTTTGGTCCCTCTACTATAGGAAAAAGCTGCTTTTTAGTCCCTATACCGAAAAAATTCCCTTTTTGGTCCTTACTGTTCACAAATCCGGCCCCTTTTTAGTCCTTCCGTTAAATTTTGCTCACGTGGCACATTAACTTAACTGGAACAGTTGACGTGGGTATGCCCATGTGTAAAAGATGCTTACGTGAACTTAATGCCACCCTCCACATCACCCCCCACATCACTCTCCACTTCCTTCGGCCTTTTTTTTTTTTTTTTTTTTTTTTTTTTTTACCCCCAAGCGAACCCAAGAGCCTGGGTTTGCGAGGAACCCAACTTGCGGGTTCGCGATGAACCCAGGAGCCTAGGTTGGCGACGAACCCAGCTCGTTAGTTTGCGATGAACCTAGGCATCTGGGTTCATCGTGAACCCAACAACATTTCCATGTCAGTGTCACATGCTCCAAATCAATCCACAAACAAGCACGAAAATCACTACACAAATGTAATGCTTCTTTTTCATGAGATTAAATCAATCAATTCTCGCACCCAAACTAGTAAGTCTTCCAACAAAGTCGAAAAAATCCAACCAAAAGGAAAATGTTTTAAGGTTACGAAATTCAAATCAAACATTTTAATTTCTTAGATATCTCAGAAACAACCTATGATGCTTTCTTAGATCCAAACAAAATACAAAGAGAACCTAAAGGCTTAAAGCCAAATCTTAGTGATTGAACAAATTTGGACGATTTGAGGAAAAGAAGAATGCCATTGAACTCTTCAACCGCGGCATGAATTAAATCCCTGGTAAGAAGCTCGTAAACTTGAGCATTTGAGTAGGTTTCATCGAACACATGATCTGCAAATGCGAAAACAAAAAAGAAAAGCTTAATTGAACAAAATCCACACTGATAACATGGTAAATCGAAGATGAAATAGAAATGAAGATCCAGGTTTTTACCAAAAGCGTAAGAGACGCCGGAGATGGGAGTGCCGTGAGGCCTGTGGAGGGAGATGCGGTTGCCCTTGACCTTCCAGTAGGTTCTAATGGAGGTATCTTGGGAAACCGCGGTCTCACTCTCACAGCAACGCAAATCTTCTCCATTTCTCAGGGTAAGACTCATTCCACGTGAACCCAGGCGCCTGGGTTCATCGCGAACTAGCAAGCTGGGTTCATCGCCAGCCTAGGCTTCTGGGTTCATCGCGAACCTGCGAGCTAGGTTCCTTGCGAACCTAGGCTCTTGGGTTCGCTTGGGGGTAAAAGGGAAAAAAGAAAAAAGAAAAAAGAAAAAAAAAGGCCGGAGGAAGTGGAGAGTGACGTGGAGGGTGATGTGGAGGGTGTCATTAAGTTCACGTAAGCATCTTTTACACATTGACATACCCACGTCAGCTGTTCCAATTAAGTTAACGTGCCACGTGAGCAAAATTTAACGGAAGGACTAAAAAGGGGTTGGATTTGTGAACAGTAAGGACCAAAAAGGGGATTTTTCGGTATAGGGACTAAAAAGGGGCTTTTTCCTATAGTAGAGGGACCAAAAAGGGTATTTAACCTTTCTTTTTTAGTACTAAACCTTTTAGTATCTAGAAGCCATATTAATCCTTAAATACTTTAGAGTGGAGCCAGGTCATATTCCATAAAGGGAAAACTCTCCCAATGCTTGTCTAAACCTGGCAAACAGGCACCAAGCGGGTTGGGTTGGGTTAGGTTAGGGTCGGGTCAGAACAGGTCACGGGTCAAAACAGGTTGGGTTAAAATGGGTCACGGGTCAATGAAAACTAACCCTAACCCGCCCATCACGGGTCACGGGTCACGGGTCACGGGTCA